CCTTCTTGGGGAAACTGCAGTTAGCATGTTGCGCAAATTGCACAGGAAAGCTGTTGAGGCCAAAGTCTGCCCTAAAGACATGTTTCCCAATCTCAGCTACGCAAGGCTTGCTTGGGTTACCCAATACGTGGGGAAGATAGCTTCATCCACCTTACATCTACAAAGCAACACATTCCCAGATAATGTGATACAGGGTTTGCATTCCAGAGCCTGATGTTGGCTTTCAAAACAGATTCTGGTCCCTGACATTGGTGCACCGCTGCCAAAATTCAGCATGATGCTGGTTAATTGCGATGCTTCTTTATTTTAATCTTCCATTGCATCCAAATGATCAGGAGGCTGTATCCTTCTACGCCCAGCAACACCAAGCGCAAACTGACAGTGACAGCAAGTCTTAAGGCAAACTTTGCAGAAATCCCATCAAATCCACTGGATCTGAAACAATTGCAGACACACGCGCTAAACCCTGTCTGTGGTGCCTACCCCTTCCCCCCAAAGAATGAGACAAGAGACCAGAGTTTGGGTTCAAATTGGCCACAACTTTATTGAGCCTCAGAAGTGGGAAACTTGGCATAGGCCTTGGCAGCTAACCCTCTCAGCCCATCTGGCTGAGGATACGCAGGCTGATGAGGTGCAGTGGGAGGGGACTGTAAAGCACAAACTTACACAGCATGCCCTTCCACTAACCTCGGCCCGGGAGTTTGACCTACATGCCTCCACTCTAGGGCCAGGGACTCCCAGTTTTTGACCTTTAACAGGCCTTGCAAGCGTCGCCGCATGGAAAGAGAGCATGAATGCATCCCCCCAGCTTGATGATAGACTAAAGGATACCTTGCCAAGGCCTAAAACCGCTACCCAAGGCCCCCTAAGGGCCTCACTGCCAAGAGTCCCACAACCGAGGAACAATCACCCCTGCTCTGCCATCAACACCTGCTGTCTCCCCAGTCCCTGAGGACTTGTCGCAAGTTGTGCAGCCAGAGGTCATTACCAAGTGGGGTCAGATGCACTCCATCCGCCCTGAATAGGCCGGCTGTATCTGCCCTGATGATGGGATGTGGAATAGAGAATCCCCCAATTAGCTGCATGGTATTGTGCATGGCCCTGTTGATTTTTTCCACCATATAATTGATGCGAGAGGGATGGGAAACCCCTCTCCAGTGCAGGCGGGGGAGGAGATTGGACCAGCCAATGGCCATTCTTGGGTACAAGGTATGCAAGCTTTCTATATCTGGCCTTGCAGCAAGGGTCAGGGCAATGCCATTTTGTTCAACTAGGTCATTCTCTCCCAGGTGCAAAATCAAGACTCTTGGAGGGCCATGCGCCGCCGCGGCCTTAATCAGCATGGGCATCAAGCCCGGCCAACGCATGTCCCATGTTGGGGTGGATTTTAAGGTTATGGCCCCCATTGTGCGACCAGGCATAATCCACCACCCAATGGACAATGCTGTGCCCCACAACCCAGATCTTCGTGGTGGGCAAACCTGTAAGAAAATTAAATTGCAAGCTTTAAGGAGGAGGAGCCGGGAAGGGAGGGTGGAAAATGTCTGATGAGGCACTTGCCAAGGCTAGCTAAATAAATAAATGGAGAAGCCTTGAGTCATACCAGTTCCTGTGGAATTTGAGCGCTCCCTGCTCCAGCATTGGAATATGCATCATCCAGCATGTCTTTACATGTAACATGATGACTATCCACTCCTGACCTTTCCCCCAAATCATTGCACTTGGGAGAGCTACTAGGCCGCTGGGACTTGCAGGAGCATCCCCATTGTATAGGACATAAAGCGGCTGAGGAGGCTTTGCTCCTTGATCATGTGGGAAAGCTCTGAGTTGCATTTAGTTTACATTTAATTTTCAAATATGCTTTATAAAGGTGCCTGCTATGTGAAAAAATACCTCTTTGTATAGACATTATCTCCCTTTATTTGATTTATTTATGGATAAAATGAAAGCGTTTGTTAATAGAAACAACTCAAATACAGAATGAGTTTAGTTTTTAAAAAAATATATTGTCTTAACTCTTGGTTGGTTGGTTTAGCCTAGGCCAAAATTTAAGCAGCAGCAATGCCATCCTGATACCTTTTAAACTCTATTGGAGTCAATGGGTCTTACACCCAGGTAAATGGGTTTGGGATTGCAGCCTAAAGTTGCTTATATAAACTATGCAAAACCCCATGTTAACTAGCAAAGGCTTAGCCAAGCTCTCCCGCCTAGCTCCTCTGGTCCTGCTCTTACCATAGAGCCTTCAACCTGTTCTTGCTATGTCGTCTACTCTGAACTGAGCTATTTCGTTACAAGATTGCTCCACTACCAGCTATTCAGTTGCTCCCCCTCTATGGTTAATTTTTACAGCACAATCTCAGTATCTGTGGTGCATTCAAATGTAAGAAGGATGTAGAACATGTGTTGTAAAGCACTCAGTTGTTAACAGCTTTCAGTAGACTACGTTACGCCCACAGGCATTCCTCAGATTCAATCCTTAACATTTCAAATTTGTTTCTGTTGTCAACTCCTGCACTCCCAGCTTCCCTGAGCGGTGAGAAACTTCTGGGGCAGATGCACTACCTGAGTTTGGCTTCTTTCTGCTGAAAGAGCAATGGAGATTTATCCAAAACTTATGGTAAGGCAATAACTATTTGTTGTTGTTGTTTAGTCGTGTCCGACTCTTCGTGACCCCATGGACCAGAGCACGCCAGGCACTCCTGTCTTCCACTGCCTCCTGCAGCTTGGTCAAACTCATGTTCGTAGCTTTGAGAACGCTGTCCAAACATCTCGTCCTCTGTCGTCCCCTTCTCCTTGTGCCCTCAATCTTTCCCAACAAATTTCACAGAAAAGCAAGTGAGCAAATTCTCCAAAACCTGATTCAGACTGGTTCTTAAAGAAAACAAGGGTTTTGTAGCAGTGGGGAAGGGACCCTGACATGTTGAAGTTGTGGAATCCACATTTAGTCACAGACTTCAGATGGAATGTGGGAGAGCATAGAAGATCTGAACAGATACGGGGCTTTACAGGTTTCAGGTTATTGCACCTAGGGCTACCCCTAGGACAAAAACTATAGTGATATTTGTTTTATTTACAAATATTTTAGAAGCAAACAGCAAGTAGACCTGCAAGATATTACCCCACATTAACTCCAGAGAGAGATGCTGCACCCACAAGGCCAACAGACCACTTTCTCTCCAATCCTCTTTCAAACTGCAGAATTGCTGCTGTTTCCTAACTACTCAAGGTCGTTTTCTTTTTCTTTCACACATACCTGCCCTTTCCCCTCAGAGAACAGGACAAGCCTCAGGCTAAGTTCTGATGGCTCTCTATCAGGAAACCCTCTCCTCGCCCACTGTTGAACCATCAGCCAACCATCCAACCATCCAACCAGTAATCTACCTAACAAAGTGAATGGCTGGCCAAAGGGCCATAAAACCATTTACCGGTAGTTTAAAGTGCCAGTCAGAAAAATGTCATTGATGATACAGTGAAAACATGACACAAAAAATCCATTGCTTAGGGGATGCATAGCAAGGCCAAGGGGCACACACAGCTGTGCCCCCCAAAAAACATGCCTTGTTCTCTGTCTCACAGCTGCCTCACTCTGCCAAACAGTAGCTGCAAGTGCTTTACCTCTGTAGGACCAGCTACATTTGCCAAAATATAATTTTCTGCACATTTACAAAAGATGCTGGAGGCCATATTTCTCAGCACTTGGTCATCCCAGCAGGAGAATGTAATGGCTTCTTCTTCTTTGGCGATCACTCGTAGCCAAGTAAGATTGTCTTCCATAAACACGGTTTTAACAATGAGTCTGTAAGTGACTGTGTAGGCCAATTCTGGATCCACACGTCCTTCCACAGTGGCAGGCACTGTTTGGCCATACCTCTAACAGTGACGAAACTCATCCGTGAAGAGTGCTATCTATCCAGGCTATCTGCAGCACTGTCAACAGCAAGTTTTTCTGTGGGACTTTGCTACCCCAGTGCACTTAATAGACTACAGTTAATACTAGCATTTTAGTAATAGCTTAGTAAATGGGCTAAAGGTAAAGGTAAAGGGACCCCTGACCATTAGGTCCAGTCATGGCCGACTCTGAGGTTGCAGCGCTCATCTCGCTTTACTGGCCGAGGGAGCCGGCGTACAGCTTCCAGGTCATGTGGCCAGCATGACTAAGCCACTTCTGGCGAACCAGAGCAGCGCATGGAAATGTCGTTTACCTTCCCGCCGGAGTGGTACCTATTTATCTACTTGCACTTTGACGTGCTTTCGAACTGCTAGGTTGGCAGGAGCAGGGACCAAGCAACGGGAGCTCACCCCGTCACGGGGATTCGAACCGCCGACCTTCTGATCGGCAATTACTAGGCTCTGTGGTTTAACCCACAGCGCCACCCGCGTCCCTCAGTAAATGGGGTAGCGTGCTCTTAAATATGTGGGTCAAGAAAAAGTAGAACTTGTACACAGAATTTAAAAAATAGACTGTAAATGCATTTACTAGTGGAGTGAGCATTCCTAAAAAAAACAACTGCCGCTCTTAGATCCTGGAATTTTTCTGATCCTTTGAGGGTGGGGCACCACAGGCCCTGGAACCAAATGTGATCACCACTCTCAGGCCTCTCTGTCTCGTCCTTGGGACTCTCCTCACACCACACCTCCTCTCTAACCCTCCCCATTTTTGCCTTAGCTCACCACTGCTAGTGGTGCTCAGTCTGAAAAAGGTTCCCCACCCCTATTCTGAGTTAAAATGCAAGAAGGAAGAGAGGAGGCTCAAAGAAAGCCTTTTTATAGCATCCATCAAGGGCCCGCCTCTGATGCTCAATTAAGGAGACTCTAAGTGATATTGGAGTGAGTCAGGAGTTTTCAAAGCAATTGGCAAGGATCAGCTGGGCCCAGGCTGCTGTGTATATGAGCCAACTGGGAGGATTAGCCACTTATTAAAGGGAAAGTGCTGCATTAGGATGCGTTTTCTAATGCTTTTGCATTTGTTAGCAGGTGGGGGGGGGGGGTTCTTTTCTTTTGGAGGCCATCATCCCCAACCAAACAAATGAGACACTTGTATGTTTACCCTGGGGGAAAAAACTTTCAAAGGGATCAGAGGAAGTGCAAGGAACTCTTTGAAGTTTGGTGTTTGAAGCACAAGCCAAACTAATGTGATATTGACACAAAAATCCTTACTCATTCATCCATTTGTTTTGATTCCTGCCATCAGAAGGTTTTCAGGGTGGCTGTCAGAAAAATAACAACATATAATTTACTCTAGGGCTGTTTCTACACCCACTGGCATATAGCATTGCTTTGTGGGTAGCATATCCCCATCCCTTGTTTTTGTTCTGTGGTCACTTTAATGGCAATGACTTCTTCCTCTCTTTCTCTCTCTTTCTCATCCATGGCTTACATTTTTGTTTGCTGCTACTACTGCCTTAGCTGTCCAAGCTCTCCTCCTGGTGGCTAGCACTTAGGTGTGCCCTGCAGTAAAGTACAAAGATCAGGGCTGCCACCCCTTGCTCTTGCCCCCAGATGGCCCTGATGGTTAGGCCCCAGTTGTACTGTGTTTTGCTTTATTGAGTCAAGATGTGAAGAGTCAAGATGTGAAGTAGCATGTTTATTTGATACCTTTCTAAAAATAGGCAACTTTTAAAAAAATGATGAGATTTGCGTGTGCTTGTGAAATGCAGAAAATGCATTAGGCAGAGCATTTCTAAAAAGAAATGGGACTTGGTGGTTTGTATAGAAAAGCTACAGTCCGCAGGTCGTTCATAAGCAGATGTCTGAAAAGTATGTTTTTATCTTTGTAACTTCCACAAAAGAAGGCATTTCAGTATTTGTTCCGGAGGTCTGTTCGTAACCTGAAACTGTTCTTAACCTGAAGCACCACTTTAGCTAATGGGGCCTTCTGCTGCCGTGCTGCTACACAATTTCTGTTCTCATCCTGAAGCAAAGTTCTTAACCCGAGGTAATATTTCTGAGTTAGCGGAGTCTGTAACCTGAAGCGTATGTAACCTGAGATACCACTGTACAAAGAAGCATGTGGTATAATATCAAGGCATGTGCTGACTCAGTTCAATGAGCCAATGAGAACATGTGGGATCTAAAGCACCTTTCAAAGAGTAAGTTCCTAAGGGTAGAATTTCACTCCCAGTTGTTCCATTCGTGAAAGCATTGCAGCTTCCCACCACTGTTCTGCCCCCTTCGCACTGTTCTGGGGGCTCTCCTGACCAACACCAGAGACAATTCTATTGTCTAAAGAGAGACGAGGGGGTAAAGCCCTCTTGCACAAGTGGAAGTCCTTGCATTCAGGTTCTGCTGAATGTTCATGAATGTTCATGTTCTGCTGACATGGCTAGTTAGGTAAATCCTGCTCCAAATGTTTAATAAAACACCCCTCAAAAACTAAATCAACGTTGAATAGCCTTTGTCTAAATTTTGTCTCCATTTTGCTACACGTTCATGGCACAAAATTCTTGGTCCTGGACCAGTTTTATGGGGCTCTTTAAAAAGGTTGATACAGATCAAAATTATCTCTTTTTTATTTTAAGGATTATAAATTTCTGAAAGGCTATTAAACTTTTATTTCCATTCACCTGTTCCTTTACGGGGGGGGGGGGGGGGGGCGTGCAAAACAGTAGGAAGTCTTGACAATAGCACCATCTGGTGTTCTGAGAGAAACACAGCAAGATGTTTCCAATTCAAAAGAACAGACTTCAAAGATAAAAAGAATAGCAGAGAACAAAATGGGACAGATGCCATGCTCTTGAATTTCTCATTGAGAGGCTACTGATTGCTATGAGAGTCACATGCTCATTTAAAAGCTTGTTATGGTAAAATGCCTTCTCCATGTTGAAGGATAAGAATGGCTAATCTAACAAGGTCATATAAACAAATCCTATGTGTATGTGTTTTCACGGGAAAATATATTTGTGTTGGCCCCTAAATGCCATTTGGTATCATGTATCATGTTCCTTTTGTGCTATATTAATTCAATTTTAATTACTCTACTTTAATCACTTTAATCACTCTACTTCATATAAATACGGTTATCTCTGGGGCAATTTATTCTAGTCACTATGTCAGTTTGCCATATCAGCATTTATAGTAATGTTGCTATCATGTGAGAGACAGAGAAAGTGAAATCATATCTTTTACTGTAAATTACTATGTTACAAAAATCTGAGTGCACACCTTCTTTATGCACAGGGGTTCAGACACAAAACAAAAATAAAATACACATTCTGTATCAAGGCCAACATACCCAGTTGCTTGTGTTTTTCAATGAAACAAGTGAAAACAATTACCTTGCTCCAGCATGAATAATCCAGCACAGCCTTTCATTAGTTGCACATACAGACATATGTTTGGGTGCAAATGAACTAGTATGATCCAGTTCATGAGTTGCTCTGCTCCTCTAAGGGTGGGAAGAACCTCACAAAGATGCTGTAGACAATTCTTATAGGAATTAGGTTCTTCCCACTGATATCCCCTTACACCCACTTGTGTGAACATTTTGATTTAGCCAGAACACCGAGTGCAACCCTACCCTCAAAATTACAGCACAGAATCAGAGAATTGTAGTGTTGGAAGGGACCATGAGGATCATCTAATCCAACTCCTGCCATGCAGGAATCTTTCTTTCTTTCTTTTGCCCAACGTGGGGCTTGAACTCACAACCCTGAGATTAAGAGCCTCATGCTCTGTGTTTCGGACACGAATGGACAACAGTCATGTGTCTGTTTATGCTAGGATTTTGCTTAGTTATGCACTGCAAGTTTTTGAAAAGGGCCTAGAACACTACTGGGTCCTGCTGTCACTTCAAGGTAAATTTTGTGGAGCACAAATTCTGACATAAATGTTCTGCTTGAGCAGAGCAGAGGCCTTTCTAGTTCAGCATCCTGTTTTCCAAGGTGGTCCATATGACAGGGACGGCTGTAGGCAGGATTCCTGAATTTGTAGCGGGTTGGACTAGATGACCCTCGAGATGCCTTCCAACTCTACAATTCTGTGATTCTATGCCTCCAGGAAGCACACAAACACAGAGGGCAAAAGCCATCTCTTGCTGCTGCTGTCGTTCCCCAGCAACTGGTCTTGTTTCAGCATTACAGGATCAATGGCTCTGGCAGGGGCAGCCTACTGATTAATTCAAAGCTGTCACTGGCTGGCAACCACCTGACTTACAATCACAACTTCGGAAAACGTTTTTCTCTAGGACTCTGTAGTCTGGGGAAGAGTGGGGTACAGAGGGGAAGTATTTGTTATGTGTGTGTTATATCTTCGTGCTATTTTTGAAAATCAATGAAAACAACTTTTTTAAAACTGTCACTGGCTGCAGTGCACAAACCCTATACTTTGGTGCAGCTCTTTTGCATGTGCAATCACCAAATAAGTGATTTGAAGACTGGCCTGCGAAACCCACATGACACATACGCAGCCTTCCCAGGCAAGCTGTCCTTTAGTCTACACTCCGCAGCCTTAACATTCAAATCTTTGACCCAGTCCTGGTCGCAAGCGGTTCCAAGGACATTAGAAACCCATTCATTACCCGGCACGGTGACGGGGTGGCTAGAAGACAAATGCGGGCAGGGGGAAGTAGTGTGGTTTCACCTGCTGAATTTCTGCCTGTCAGGGGTACCGAAAAGGCAACCCGTGCGAAAGGCGAAGCATCGACTGCTAGGCAGGCCTGTCATCAAGCTAGCCCTCGCTTTCCCCGCAGCCACCTTAAACGCAAGGGCTGCTGGGAGAAGAAAGCGCGAGGAAAGGCGTCCGACAGGCCTGCTAGGCCGCGCGCGCTCCCCGCCATGGACGCGGTCCTAGCCGACACGCTGCTCTCGCAATGCCCGGACTGGGGCGCGCTGCTGCGGGCCGTGTGCGGCGGTGGCGCCGAAGGCGGGCCGCTCTCCGTCGAGCAAGCGGAGACGCTGCGCTTCCTTCTCGAGCGGGTGGCGGCGGCGGGCGGGCGGAGCGACGAGCGGGACGCGGCGGCTCGGCGCGTGGCCTGGGAGGCGGCGCTGGGCCGCTGCCTGCCGGTGCTGCTCGGCGGCGCCTCCTCGCCGGGGGAGTCCCCGGAGGAGCGGCTGCGCCTGGCCAGAGCCGCGTGCGGGGCGCTGCGCTGCTGCGCCTCGCTTGGCGGAGCCCCTTTGGCGGAGCAGCTGGCGCGGGAGTCGCTGGAGGCCCTGGAAGGCAGCGCTGGGAGCGGGCGGTTGCAGGTGGAAGCGGCCGTCGAGGTCCTGGCCGCCGTGGCCCCTTGGCTGGAGGAGCCGGCGCTGCTCGGGCGAGCCGTGGCGGCGGCCCTGAAGCTGCTGAGGGGAGATGGAGAGGACGACGAGGAGGAGAAAGCCTTGCCGGCGGCCGGGAGGCTGCTGCCGGCGCTGGGGCGGAATAGCGCCGCATTGGGGCTCGTGTGGGAAGGGCTGATGGTGCCGCCGCCGCCCAAGGGTGCCCCGCAGCGGGTGAGCCGGACCCTGCTGGTCTTGAGCGCCCTCTCGGACGCGCTGTTTCCCTCGAGCGCGCAGGTGGAGGCGGCTGCTCAGCTACTCGACGCCAGGCAGTGCAGCAGTTTCTGGGAAGTGGTGCAAAAGGGGCTGACGGAGAGCAATGCCCTGTGCAGGAAAAGAGCCCGTTATTTGCTGAAGCGAGCAGTGGATGTCTCTGATAAACTACGCCTGGAGTGCAGGTGCAACCGGCACAGTGGAAATGGTACAGCCCTGGTGATGTAGCATCCTTGCTTAACTTGCTTCCACAAATGCCATGCCACACACACACACACACACACACCAACCAATCTCCTTTCTCTCGGCCACTTCAGCATGTGGTAGGTTGTGGAGATAAGCCTTGCCTTGGTCGGCTGTGTGACCCGTGGCAGGCTGGACATGTGTATTATTCACCACGTATGATATCCAACCTACGGCTTGGCTCCACAGAGCTTTCTAAATATGGGTTAGCGCTGACTTTGAATTTTACATACGGTAGAGAATAACCGTGACCAGCAAGCCATAGGCTGCAAGTGAAAGACAGGCCTTTTCTCCATGACTCCCACACTCTGAAATGAATTACATTACCAGTTATCTTGTCTGCATCTGTACAAGATTACAATCAGTGCTTAACATTTGTGTGCATTAGCTGGGATGTAATAAAAGACCAGGTCTCCTTCAAGCGTTTGTCAAAGAGAGAACGTGGGCACATGTACACATGTCTTGCCACAATGCTGTATCTTGTAAAAATGCCCCTTGTAGGCACAAGAAGTGCCATCTTCACTTGTGCTTTAGTTTTAAGTAGCCCCAGATTGTTGTGTCATACTTAAAAGCTGCAGCCCCCAAACTTCTTGAATGGCACATTGGTGAGATGCTCTGAGTAGCGTTAAATTTAAGAGACTGGTAGAAAGTGAGCAAGTCTCTTTGGTTCTGCTGTAGCGAAAGCAGGAGTTTGTCTATCATAGCAAATGTGGATAGCAAAACCACAGTGGTGTGCCTCTAAAGGTGTCTATAAACTTATTTAGATGAGCAAACAAAATGAGAGGACCTTCCCTATGGAATTATAGTGTTCTAGAGCCACACAGGAAGCTAGCTGCCTTTTTCTGAATCATACCATCAGTCCATCTAGTTCAGTACAGTCATACCTTGAGATAAATACGCTTCAGGATAAGTATTTTCGGGTTGCACTCTGCGGTGACCCAGAAGTAATGGAGTGCGTTACTTCCGGGTTTCACCGCATGCGCAGATGGTCAAAATGACGTCACGTGCATGCACGGAAGCGGCAAAACACGACCCACGCACGCACAGACGCGCAGTTGCATCTTACATTCTGTTCAGAATGCGAACAGGGCTCCGGAACGGATCCTGTTCGCATCCCAAGTTACCACTGTATTGTCTACAAGCAGGGGTCAGTAAACTTTTTCAGCAGGGGCTGGTCCACTGTCCCTCAGACCTTGTGAGAGGCCGGACTATATTTTGGAAAAAAATAATGAACGAATTCCTATGCCCCACAAATAACCCAGAGATGCATTTAAATAAAAGCACACATTCTACTCATGTAAAAACGTGCTGATTTCCTGGACCATCCATGGGCCGGATTTAGAAGGTGATTGGGCCGGATCTGGCCCCCGGACCTTAGTTTGCCTACCCATGGTCTACAGTGACTGGCAGCAGCTCAGGTTTTCAGCCAAGGGTCTCCCCCAGCCCTACCTGGAAATACAAAGGAATGAACACTCAGATCTTGTGCATGCAAAGCAGACACGCTATGACTGAGCTACAGTTCTATCCCCAACCACCATTTCTTGTCAGTGGGCTATTCTTGCAAATACTGCTTAGGGAGATAACAACCTTTTAAAAATGTTTTGACTGTGAAGGAGGATGGGCGAAACAGTAACCAAAGTGAAGGCCGTTGCTTAATTGTTCATGCAATACCTCATTAAGCATGAATTTACCTTTTCACTGAGAATGGAAGAGAAATGCTAATGAAAGCAAAACCCAAGGTTAGAAATAAACATTAATGATAGAAGAAAGACACTTAAAAATCTGGTGGCACAATCCTATCACAGTCTTTCCTGGTAACTTAATGTTGTTCCACGCCTCAGATATACTTATGGGGAGGAGCCTTTTTTCAAAACAAAAACCCATCGGATGTGGTGTGCTTGTGATATACATGAGTGGCCAGTTTGATGACAGGTGGTGGAGCTGCTGGATGGTAAGATGTGAGTTGCAATAGTATCACATCTGCATTGCACTCCCTGTTATATTATGCCTGACACAGTGATAGTGCGCCAAGATAGGAGGAGGCTTCCATGGAAATGGGTTGCATTCCCCTCTGCATGGGAAGGAAAGGGTCATGCTCTTGACCTACATTAATACTTTTTGCTGTCCATTTAAAGTTTTGTCCACTAATACTGAACGATTGCAGCCTGTGCTTTCAGTGCATACTGTTCTCATGGAAAGAGATATCTTTATTGACACTTATAGGCTTGGTATAATAGCCTTTTCATGCTAATGACATTAAACTGGATGTAGTATCATTCATATGTTCCCTTTGATTAGAGGGAAGAGAAGAAATGCCTCTAATTTGCTTGTATCGTATTGCAGAACCATGTCTGTTCTGGTGGTGTGCCGAAAAAAATGATCAACTTATTCAGTTTTGGGAAAATTACATCTTAATTATGGAGACTTTGGAAGGAAATCAGGTAAATATGTAACGTTTTTACAAAGTGCTGCTGAGAGTCGCTGTTCTTCATTGTTGCTATGAATACGCAAAATACCAGAGGGTTGTTCTATACAGTGAACAAACGCTGAATGCTGAAGTCAGGAAGTGTAAAGACTATTTTTTTTCTTAAACAAAAATCTTCCATGCATTTTGAATGTATCAATTTCCCTTTCCACGTTTATGGGGAAACGAGTTAAAAAATGAAAACGACATCTCAGTCTTAAGTTAAACTCTTCCAAGTTCCACTGAAGTAGATCACAGCATCACAATTATGTATAGATTTGTTGTTCACAAGGGGCTGAATCTTGGTTAAACAGAGACACTGTGTTATAATTTCTGTTATTGTAAAGTCACTGTGTTATGTAATTTCATGCCAGAGGTCAATATCTAGCTCTTAACTGTAGTTATGATACTTTTCAGTTACAGAGTAAATCAAATTAATGTAATAATGTCTGTTTTTCAATTTTAGATACATGTTATAAAGCCAGTATTGCCAAAGTTAAATAGTTTATATGAACATGCAGTATCAGAGCAAAATGGTAAGGCTATTTTTTTTAAAGAAAAGTGCCAATAACTTTGACAGGAATCAAAGGATTGGTTTATATGTTGCAAAAATTCATGGCACTTGATTGCTCAACAGCCTAAATAATGCCTTTTTCATGTCAAAGGCTGTAACATTGATAATTTCTAAATGGACGCAGTTTAAAGGCCAGTTCATACAATATCAGTTTAGAAATTCAGTACAGAACAATGGGAAATCAGAACTGTACCCCACATTGAACATTCAACATAATGTGTGAAGCCTGAGAGTAGTCTTTCTGCAATTCCTTCCCATAAAAACCAAGTTGGAGGAAAAAACCCACAGTGGAGGGAGGGTTGCAAGCTAATATTTTCTTACTTACATATTCATGGGATGAGAGGTGTGTGAGATGCCCTGCCACATTTACATAATGTAGAAAAAAAAATGGCAGTTAATTGCATGAATTATCCCTCATTTGTATAGGGCATATTAGGACAAAAGTCAATATGAAAGGTGAGAGACATGGAGATAACAGGGGCCTTCCCAGCCAGATTCAGGTGGATGTGCTACACAATGAAATGACAGTTTCTTAAAACTCTTTTTTAAATGTGATTAGATGTAAATATATTGTGAAAACCTATAAAGGTACATATGAATAATATGCGTCCCTCCCTCCTTACTTCCTGGATACAGATAAAATATATGTCGAGATTACTGTCATTGTGTACCCTTGTAAAAATTCTGTTTTTTGCAACAGATAGTTGGGTGTTTCACCCATCGTGGCATATGTGCATTTACAAAAGAATGTTTGAGAGTGAAAACAAAACATTGACAAAGGAAGGTGTAATTCACTTTCTTGACATCTGGCAAACGAAACATATCCCTATGTCACCAGGATTTTCAGAGGTAACGTTTTCTTCCCTTTCCCCTCCTAAGATTTCCTGTTTTGTACCTCCTGAAGTTTGCTCCTTTGTCTATATTATCCTGGGGGGTAGGGGGAATGTTAAAAGTTTGCTGCTCTTGAAGGGAACACAAGGAAAACATAATTCTCTTCGTAAGCATACCAGCTTGTCCACCAGTGTCTAGGGTACACACTGCCTGGTTTGCTCTGATTATAAGGGCAGAGAAAAACAATTGTGCCCATTACCTTAGTAAGGTTCATCTCATTTTTGATTTGCGGGAAAAGTGGTAGTGAGTAGGATCCTTCTAGCCACAGCATTTTTGGTGATTAATTGTAATGGTAACAGATCTGCACTTTCAATTTTATTTTTACGGGAATAGCCTCATTACATAATACAGTTCAGGAAGTACTTTTGTTTCTCTTACTTCCTGCTGTCATGTATATAAATCTTTTGGGGTATTTTTTTCTTTAGCATGTTTATAAGGCTGATTCATAATTTCTTTACCCATTTTGTATATTGAATGTGTTGTAAAGCCAGATCCACAGTTTTTCTGTAGCAGAAATAAATTTTAGTTTCATACTGACTTTTCTACTAATACAGGTCTGATTAAACATCCACACATGTTTTGCAGGACAAATACCATTTTTGTCTGTGTTACAGCTTTTAATACAAGCATGCTTTCTTTCTTTCTTTAGTTTATTATTGGCCCTTTAATGGATGCTCTTTCGGAAAGTTCTCTCTATAGCAGGTAATAAATTATTCATTGACAACTTGTTGAATTTCTATAGATACTAAAACAGATTTTTAAATGCCACTTACATAGGGCTGAATATTTGCAGGTATTTATGGATTTTCCTCCATTGAGGACAGGGATTGAAAAAATCCCACCAGGTTTCATTGCCATAGAATTATGTAAATATATGGTGCACCTACATTTACAGTACTGCAGGCAGTTCTAAGTGTCCTATCCCACAAAAGATGAGAGAGAACTGGAGCAAGTACAGAAAACATTACTCTCAGATTTCTAGATTTTTAGTGTTAAATGATGACGATTATAATTATTAAAAAAACTTCCTAGGTGTGTTAGGAGGATGTTCTTTTGTTGGGATGGAAACTTTTCTAAGTAGAGCAATTCTAAGTTCTGGAGTAGAAGTGGGAATCTGGGGCAGAATCACTTCCACATCCAGAGGCTCGATGTGACCAGGGCTTCAGCATTTTTCTGCCTTTTTATTTCTGTATTCCTTACCCTTAAATTGTCCCACCCACTGAAACCAATGGGAGGGGAAATTAACTACACCAAGTTCAGACTAGTGTAGTTATGGGGTCTAATCTGCAGGGGGTACAGGGGACACATTCCCAACCTATTCCATTTTGGCCCTTGCTATGAGAGTAGCAGCTGGTGCTGCTCATACACTTACACAGCTTTCTGTGGATGTACTGGGAGGTTTCTGGGATGGATGTACCTTCCTTTGACAGGGGTTAGAATTGCTCTGTTAATCAGTGGTTTACTAGCTCAGAATATTTTTGCTCGTTGAGAGAGGCTAGCTTGGTTACGACATATTGGTCTGATATTAAAGGTGGCCTGTAAGTTATTTTATAAAATAACCTGTAAGTTATTTTATACTTCAGTGTAACAAATATCTGCATAGAGTTTCTAGTAGTATGTAAACTGTATTTGTTTAATTGATAAAGTTGGCAGTTTTGTCTTTGAATTTCTTCTACCATATTTCTGTTTTTAATTTAACAGGTTATCAGGTCAGATTATCGGAACCTGTCCTCCTTTAGGAACGAAATTGCAAATGTTCTTGGCTACCTTTTTCACAAGCCTCCCCGAGAAAGAAAAAAGTATGTTTATTTAAAATATTATGATTTGGAATTGCATAGAAGTCACCTGTCCGCTTCATTCATGCCAAGTGGCCAAAGGAGGGAGGTGGTTGGCATATAAAGCCATCTCACTTAGACTTCCACCCCACTTATGCCATGAGTCTAGCACAGTTGAATGCAAAAAGTGCCCAGCCTTCATTCTCATAGCTTTGTTTACATGCATTCCCCTTGAGTATGGGTGGAAAGACTGGAGAAGCTGGCAACTACTGTGCAAGGGCACAGAACTACCTCTGTTCTTGGATTGCTGCCTTCCTTCCATTCTTCCTAACTTGACTGGAGATAGGAGGTCCTGAGGGGACCTTTACTTTTTTCTCATTTATTATATTGTCATCCCATTGTCCAAAATATAGGGTGCCGTGTGTCTCTTCCCAGGACTCATCTTGAGCTCCTAACAAGCCCATGAGAAACATTAGGCTGAGAGAGACTGATTGGCTCAAGGTCACCCAATGAGCTTTATAGCTCCGCTAGGATCCTTGATCCTAGTCATACACTCTAAGCACTGCCCTACATTGACTTTCCTTTAGTTATGCTTTCCATGGTGGTTGGGGTCAGAATCTGAGGGAGATGGTGAAAGCGTTTACACTCAGGAATCATTCACAGTGCATAGTAGGTTTGTGGTGTTCTTCTGCCCATTTAAGTCAGCATGTGTACAGTGTCATAATGCTGCTCTGTCCTGCACCTGCTGTGTGTCGTACAGACAGCAACAGTTTTGTGTGAGGGTTGCATTCCTGGCCCCTGTGCATGTTGGGGGAGCCTGTCCTGCCCCGTCTCACTCTGTCCCCATTCCGCCCTTCTTCTGGGTCCAAAAGGACCTTCATGTTGGCGGTCATACAGCAATTGGACATGTGCGAAACGGTTACCGCCTGTACTACCATGTTTTTCTCTGCTGTCACGTACATCTGAGCCCTCGGTCAAACAAGCTGTTGAGGCTGGAATTAATGAAGAGATCATTTGGACTTAGGGAATGTAATCCATTTTTTCCCCTTGGAAAAAATGGCTTTCTACTGCTGAGCTTACTTTTGGGGTTAGCATTGTTTTATGTTAGATGATTTAACAAAAATCTTGTTTTTCTTTTGTTTTTTAAAGGTAGTTTTTTGTTAAAGTTTATACAGAAGATGAGCAATAGGCACTGGTGTGCTGTTCCAATTTTGTTTCTGTCCATGGCACTGGCAAATATTCCAGCATATAGAGTACTAGATACCGAAGGACTCCTAGCTCTGAGGTACCATTTTGAGTGTTGTTTGTGTGACTAGTCCTCAGTTCATTGTTTTAACTTTTCAAAGCATGTATCTTATCCGTTTGCAGAGATGTCCTGCAGTGCACCATGATCACCCATCAGATTCTCCTACGGGGAGCTGCTCAGTGCTATCTTCTTAAAGCAGCTATACTCTTGACAGATGTAGTAAGTCTTCCTATTCTGAAATATAGTCGCACTGGAAAGGCATAAAATATAGCTGAGTACTTTTATAAAGCTTTAGTGGATAAGGTTTGCTACTTCTTTGAATTAAAAGATACAGAATTTTAGAATCATTTGATTACCTTTCTTAAATCTCAGGTGAAATGTTTTCCTCCTTTGCTTCATTTTTCTAGATGCCAAGTTTTCAGAAAACAAAAGCCATTGGCTTGGGCATTCTTACACACCATTGTGGCATTAAAATGCATGACTACCCTAAGTACTGTGTTAGACTTGCGATGACATCTTTGCATATTGCACCTTGCACTTCGTTCTGTTGGAACTGCTCTGAGTAGAACACTTGCATTGTGGTACTTTGCTATTAAGCTTGAAGGAGTTTGGAGTAGGGAGAGATGTATAACATTGCAAAATGATTAACACAACTCTGAACCTAAATATTGTTTTTCTTGGTTTCAAATGAATGCTACTTACATTTCTTTCCTTAGGAGAAAGTGTCCCTTTCAGATATTGCAAACTTCATTGTATCTCTGAAACCAGAAGAGTCATTAGGCAGAGGGACTGTTTTGTGGACAATGGTGAGAGAAGTGAAAGCAAACTATTGTGAAATTGGTTAGTCATTATGGCATTTTAGATGTGTATTATTATTATTCCGATTAAGCCTTTTGTGTTTCTATGCTGTAAACTGCCCTGTGATCTTTGAATGCAGGGCAGTATAGAAATTTAATAAATAAAACAAAAATAAATAAATAAATCATTTTGTTTTTCTTAGCTTTGTAATTGGTTGCGTGTAAATGACAAGCACTTTCAAAAGCCTTTAAACTGCAATGTGCCTCAAGACAAAACTGCATTAAGTGTTTATGCACAATCCCTTGTGGAGGATTATCTGAAAACACCTATAGCCAATTGTAAGTAGTTTTATAAATATTATAAATAATACTGTTTATGTAAGCAATGAGCACATTTGTTAAATAGTTCCGTTCCTAAGGATTAAGGATTATTTAGTTCTGCATAAAAGTGTTTGGAACACTTCCAGGTTTATACATGATGTTGTTTTGAAGGTGGTGCTTTGTGAGGAGGGGTCGAAGATCAGAGGTAGATTGCAATGTAATATATTTCTGCACACCTTACCAGAATCCCCAATTATGCTGAAATCCTTTGTTTGTGGGTTTCACTGCCCTACTGCTGGGACAATGCCACCAAATTTGCTTTTGTATAGAAGCTCTTTGCAAATATTTATAAAGACTCAGATTTGATGAATTACATGCATCGAGAAGGGGGTTGGATTTGTGCTTGTGGAAAAGTAGCCGCTCATGCCTCTTGGCAAACCACTTTTGAATCCAAGAGGAGTTTGAAAAGCACTGGTGTGACATGCTGTTCAAAGCAAAAATGTCAAAAATCCCACTGTGTGTGCACAAGCCCTTCAGCATATATAAAGTAGCTCTTTGCTTCTTAGTCATTTTGTATTAATTTCCTGGGGTTTATCCCTCATTAAAATCACTAGGCATATTGTTCACTAATTTAACTGGGAATAGGATTTCCAAAGTCCTGGTAAATTATTAAAACGACTGAAGTTCTCAAGCGCAATTCTTATCTCAGTTGCTTCTATGTTCTATTAACTAAAGAGTCTACTTCAAAGCATATCGTACAACAGCATTCATAAAAACAATCAGCTTCATTGCTTATTTCATTTTATTTCTGTGCGTGACACTTCTGTCAGAGACTTTTAGCTACGGAACGCATTATCTCAGCATGTGTTCTCTAGTCTAGCAAAGCCCCTTACCATCGTTGATCCTTCTCCCTTTCCCTCCAGAACCACTTTGCTGGCACAGGAGAAGCCAGTGGTGCTGACTCAGGGCCCCAGACTGTGGGTGCCCAGCGCGCCTGCACCCATGCCGCAACGGCATGACATACTCGTTCAGGCAGAGCTCTACAACATTGTACAAACTAGTATTATTTTTTTACAGCTGCAGAAGACTGCCTTATGCCTGACTGGTTTGAAGCTAAACTTGTTGCTACGATGATTCTGCTGACTGCAGATGTGGAAGAGATGAAACATGTATACAGGTAGACACCCTGTTTTCTTTGCATTTGCTTTGGATGTGGACCACAAGTCTCTTGAGCTGCTTTGTCTAGCTTTAGTATATTACATCCAAGGAAAGGTTAGAGCTAAGTGGCATAATGTAAAGATTGTATATATATATGAAATAGCACCAAAAAAAAAAACCATTGGGTTCTTAAAACACTTTCTTAACAATGACATTTTGAGTTCGCTGTAAATGAGCTGTTGGTCATATTTGGTGAAAGGCAGCTCACAAATTGGCTTTAAGCACAGAGATGTTTGCTTGAATCTTTTGTGGATTACCTTGCCTACATCTTGAATAGAAATTTATTGTTTCTTTTCAGCGTGTGTGGACAAAGCGATTTGTACAGATAATAACAAACTTTTGTGACACAGCCAGTGTATTCAGAGGTATTTCAGGAGCTTTGAGTTCATAATTCCTATGAGCAACTGTGGATTGGTGGAGTGTTGACTTGTTGTCTGTTCATTGATTACTACCTAGAGGCTGGCACCATAAGAAAAAAAAATGACTTGATTGGGCATTTGTTTTTTTAAGAGAATTGAAAGTGGTTTGGGAGACCACATTGCATGTGTTTCTTCTGTTCCGCTGTTGTCTCTGGCCAAACAGGCTTTACAGATTTTCTAAATAATACAAGAGAGAATGAGAGAGACAGAGAGGGAGCCAAAAGTTGGTTATCTGTCCCCAGTACAAGCAGCTTTCTGTCTTTCAAACTGCCTTCAGCTATCAAAAAAACCTCCTGTCATCTGTTACTAACCACTGTTGTGTTTTCCCAGAGTATAAACAAATGTTGGAACATTTTGTGTATTAAGTTTGGTTTATCCACTCTTTAAAAATAACTAAATAAACAGTGTCAGCACTGGGTGTTCGAATGTGACACCATTCCTGCTTGATAGCATACAATGTAGGCTGAGGTATGTTCTCCTGCTTTTTGCTCAGTTGGAAGGTGAATGCAGTTTATCTACCCAGAAGTCAGCAATACAGACAGTGGAATATGTTTCTCTTTTTAATGTTTGTTTCGTGTAGTGTCAATGACAGCACAGAACGGATTGAGCTGAAGGCTCTCCTAAACCCTCTGCTAGATGTCTTGCTGAAACTTGGCACTAATCCCTACATCTCATCACTGAAAACCGATAAAAGCCTACAGCTGCTATTGAAGCTACTGCAGACTTGTTCAATCAAATGTTCCAGTCCACGAGTTGGTTAGTGGTATATTCAGTATGTTGCTCTTATGAATCTTGCCCTTCTAACTGGTGTAACAAAATTAGGCTAATAGACTCATCAAAACAAATTGTAGTAAGTCGCTTTGAAACAGGAATTCACATTAAAAGCAAATGGCCGTATTAAAAATGTCCAGAATGCATCTAATAAGGAATTACTATATTCTTAACAAACATCTAAATTCAGAGATAATCTGGATACCACAGGAAAAAAATAGGCATATTAAGCTACTGTGTGGTATACAGTTAGTGTTGATAAACCTGGTAATCTTTGTCCTGTTTTGCCTTACAAGTAGGGGTTCTATTTTTCTTTAGAATGAGGCATACAGAATGAAAAGTACTTCTAACATATAATTGTTGTTATAAACATCTTTGTGGGTTTGATCAAGAGGTTTGGTAAAGGTGAAGGGGGCTGGTGGAAGTGCTTTGCTGCCCCATCCTCCCATCAGCAGGCCCCCAACATCCCCACCCCACCTCAAAGTCCTTACTGAAGGTCCTGGGACCCTGCTGAATGGGCTGCCCTCTGGCACAGGAGGGTGGGGCGAATGGGAGAAGTTACCTCTACTTTTCAGGGATATCTCCCTACACCCAGCATCCCGGCCTCTGCCCCACATTCCGCCTCATTCAATAGGCACTCCTGTCCACAGGAAGAGGCTTTTCAGGACAGTGGAGGAAGGGAGAGGGTGGGAAAGTTTGGTTCTACCAGCCCCTTTCAGCATGCTTTATCTCTGGATTAATTCTTTAAAATTGCCATTCAAAATGGCCCCAAGAGCTGCTTTTAGAATGCCAGACATTTGGAAACTGGGGTGATTAATAATGCATTCTACTTTTTTTAAAAAAAGTAAAAGCATGCAATTGGGGACTGTGAACTGTGATTTGGGGTGTGTGTCTGTCATTTTGAATGATATATCCTATTATATGCTTTACCATGGTAATTTCATTGTGTACTACATCACATGTGTATGATACTGTAAGCCTGCAACATTTAACTTGTGCACATTCAGCTTTTATGCACATGGCAAAAACCCCAAACACTCAATAAAACGGGGCAGAAAGCAGGCAGGGTTCCTGGACTTTGGCAATCCTACTTGCCCTTGAACCCAGTGAGTTTTGGCTAGACACAATTTTGGTTTCAGGGGCAATCCCCGGAATGCAGCCCTTGCATAAATTGCAGGCTTACTGTTCAGCTTTGGGAATAATGGTACTACCAGTATTTTAATTGCATGTATCTTCATACAGATGGGATAATAGCATTTCTCCAGAATTCATTTATGACTGCCACAGAAAGTATTTTGGATTTTCTCCTCAGAAGACTTACAGCAAATGAATTAAATACTGTAAGTACTTAGTGTAAATATTGGCTTGGAATTATTATTACCGTATTTTTCGCTCTATAGGATGCACTTTTTCCCCTCCAAAAATGAAGGGGAAATGTGTGTGCGTCCTATGGAGCGAATGCAGGCTTTCCCGGGCTTCCTGCAGCTCCGCGCCACCCTCCGGATCCCGGCGCGAGCCGCGCGGGGCTCCGGAGGGTGGCGCGGAGCTGCCTGCGCCCCAGGGCTTCCTGTAGCTCCGCGCCACCCTCCCGGTCCCGGCGCGAGCCGCGCGGGGCTCCGGAGGGTGGCGCGGAGCTGCCTGCGCCCCAGGGCTTCCTGCAGCTCCGCGCCACCCTCCCGGTCCCGGCGCGGCCGCGCGGGGCTCCGGAGGGTGGCGCGGAGCTGCCTGCGCTCCAGGGTTTCCTGCAGCTCCGCGCCACCCTCCCGGTCCCGGCGCGAAGCCGCGCGGGGCTCGGGAGGGTGACGCGGAGCTGCCTGCATTCCGAAGCCTGGTGCGCACTGAAGAGCGCGCCCGGGCTTCGCGCACCTCTCCACAAGCCTGGGGAGACCGGCTCGGTTCCCTAGGCTTGCGGATAGCAGGCTGTTCTGGGGGCTGGGGTCGGGGGAAGCTCGGGCTTCCCCCGCGCCTGCCCCGTGCCTGGGGAGGGAATTTTTTTCCCTTTATTCCCCCCCCCCCCAAAAAAAAATTAGGTACCTTGAACGCACCTTGTTTTAGAGGGAGAGAACAAGAAAAATTTTTTTTTCCCTGTTCTCCCCCTCCTATGATCCGGTGCGTCCAATGGTGCGAAAAATACGGTATTTTAATTCAGAAGGGTAGCAATATTGTGAAAGTGTATTCATTTGGAATGTTCAGAAAAATATTTAAAACAGAAATGCTTTGTCAACAAACATTGTGAAAAGCATTTACTTAAACAGATGTTTTAAAATTTCTCTCTAGCCATGTAAAAATATTTGAAACCAAATGCAAAAGTGCAGATCCAGTCACACAGTTAAAATGAGTATGTTGGTTGACAAGTTATTGTAACGGAGGAGCTGGTGTAGTATTCACACTGGTTTTTAACTGAGGCTTAGTGCAAACCTGGCCATTGAGGCTGTTAGATTAATGTGAAGCAGTTGCCTGCCTAACTTGAGCAGAATGTGGGGATGGATGGGGACATGCAGAGCTTTGATTCTGTGACCTGCTCTTGCATGCTGCCTGCCTGCACATTCGTGCATTCATGCCAAGCAGGGGGACGGAAGGACATTAGGGCTCTGTTAATGCTTTGAAGAGCTCTCTGCAGAACAAGAATGATTAGATCTGGATCTAATTAACCATCAACATAGTTTTGCATGCCCAAATGTATCTTATATCAGCAGCCTTCTGTGTCACATGGCAATCTGCTTTTGAAACAGAGATTTGTTTGTTTGTTTTCAAGGCAATCTATGGTGTGGCCTGAAGGCAACATGCCAGTTAAAGAAAAGCCAAAAATTATACTGAGCATGTCTAAAGCAGCTACTTTGGAACTTGGCATTAATATTAAAGTAACTAATTGTGCAGACAGTATCTCCTAGGTTTTGTTTTAATGGACACCTGTAATAACGTATCCCTTCAGATTTCAGATCTGCAGCGCTGTAATTTATATCTAGAAGTGTTGTCAGAGCTGATGAACATTTGCTCAGTCAATGGCTGGAAAAAAGGACCATCGATCTGCAGCTTCATCTCCTCTCTGATAAAGACCTCTCTCTGCAGTGTTCAAGAGGGAAATAGTGAAAAGGTATTGAGTCATAATGCTTAGGCACAGTGCACATATTTTCACAAAATACTCCTTTGTACTACTTTTGAAAGGAGAAGAGAGCAGCTTGGATTTTAAAATGTTGTGGCACTCTTCTGTTTACAGTAGAAAACCAAATACTCTTGATATGCCATAATAGATACAGATACATTTACCAGCTAATGTTTTCCAGTTTTCTGATGTGTGGTCTAAAAGTAATGAAAACAGACTATGGTCAGATATCCCAATTTTTAGTGCTGTATTGAAATAAGACCAGATCAGTTTATTAGGGCCAGGGTCCAAAGAGCCGTGAAACTGATTACGTGAGCCAAGTGCCTCCATGTCTAATGGCAAATTGCTTTTGAAAGTGGGTGGGAAGTTTCAAAAAGAATTTGTGATGCCGCTTTGGCTCCAAGCCAGTACAAAATACCTCAATGTAGCTAGTGAAAAGGAATGTAAAGTGAGACTCACACACTTCTCTCTTTGTGCTTTGATATCAAGAGTTTGGGCAATAGGTATAAAAAGAAGAAAACCTTGAAATAAAAAGTGGCCACATTTTCTGATAATCATCTTGTGTTAGATGGTTCACGGGGCAATTATACAAATCCTTACAATTTGACATTAGAAGGAAATAGAGTCCCTGCCTAATTCCATACCCAGCCTGCTGCTTTCCTCCAACCCAAAGGCAACACCTTCCTTCAGGCCCAGTCTTCATATCCTACTTTCGCTGTACAGGCCCTGTTCCCATCCCTTTGTCTCCATCTTGTGTAGAACATGCCATGCTTCCTCCTCACAACGTTAATCTAATCTATTCAAACCACCTGGCAGCTGAATATATGCTGGGGGAGGAAAAGGGGCTTCTCTTCATCTACCTCATTTGCTGAAATGCTACATATAAAATGTGTCACTTACTTTTTTAAATTGAACTCTTTAATATATTTAAGAGTCAAAGGGTAATGCGGAACAGACCTTTTATTCTATATTCAGACTAGCATAATTATTTTTATTGATATTTATTTTTATTTTTTCCATACTTTATTAGAACACATTGTAAGAGTTTGAAAATTACCTGTGTAACTTCGCTTTCAGGAGGTAAAACTTGGGGAACAGATTCAGAAGGTAGTGAGTATGGCATCGCTAAGTGTGATTTGTGAAATTATTGATCAGAAGCCAGATCTTCAGCTTGAATCTCTCCCAGCTGTTGAAACCCTAAAAACAACTATTTCCTGTGCTCAACTTAACCATGTATTAAAGAAGCCTTGCAGTATGGAAAAAGATAGGTATTTGTGTTAATCACTTTGTTTAACAAATTTTAATTGGAGAGAAATCTACTATTCTAACTTCTATCTGTTTTCTTAAATCCTACCTTTATATATATATAAAAGCAGAATACCTTAAAGGCTTCTTTAGTCTTCTGCCATTCGTGTTCTAGATGTGTTCCTATTATCCCATTTCCTAATATGTAAGCATTTTACTCTTAGGATTTAGACTGCAATCCTAACCATGTCTATTCAGGAGTAAGTCCCATTGATTTATATGAAGTTTAATCCCAGGTAAGTGAGGTTAGGATTGCAGCCTTAGTTAAATTCTATGTGATCATGAGCTTGGAAGTATGTTCCCAGTTATGTCTGTGGGGTTGTGCTGTTAATTAATTTTATTGGGTCTTGAGCTGTTGCTAGACATTTAATTTAGTCTATTCCTTTCCTTGGAGTACAATACAGTACATTTCTCTTTTTTAAAAAAAGCAAAGGTGAACTGAAATATTTTTCAACTTTTATTACAGTTATCTTGAAGAGCCAGCATCTCATCAAGGATGGGGGAAAATTGTAGCGTGTTATATACATGATCAGTGGGTTTGTCTTCATTTTGTTCTAAATAATTATCAAAAGCTTTCTAAAGACAAATATAGAGAGCACTTTTTGCCAGATGTTCAAAAATGCACAAGAATTTTACAGTCTGCACTGGAAGCAGTGACAATTCTTCCTTCTGATCATATCTTACCTGTGTTTCATTCCATGAAAATAGTCGTTTCCAAGGTAAATGGTTTAAAACAATGTTTGACTTTATTACATGGCTTTATATTTTATGAAAAACTAAATGCTACTTCTTTTTGCCTTTAGCTTTTGGAATCCTCTGAATCTCTGTGCATAGAGGCTTTTGACTTAGCATGGAAAATTATATTTGCTCTTAGTAACACACAGCTGATCTTTTGGCCCAATCTAAAAGCTTTTGTTCAGTTTGTGTTTGATCCTGAAATTCTTGCTGCCGCAGCAAAGAACAAGAGTCAGGCATACACCAGGATAAAAGAGGTAAACGTTTTACATTTCTTGTTCTTCCTGCAATCTCTATTCTTGGCAGTTGTGTTCAGATTATCGTATCTCAGCTTGTTAACCTGTTAGGTGTGCACAAGTGTTCTGCTTCTGCACATAGCCCTTGAGCCATGGTTAAACTTGGAATCCCCTGGTTAACTGGGAAACTATGGTTACTAACTCGGGAAGAAGCCAGAATCAAATCATTGTTTTAATTTGGTTTAATATCCTAGGTTGTTCTGGAGCTGGTAACCTAGTTTCCCAGTTCGGAGATTCTTCGATCAATTAGAGACTTTCTGATATGATGGCAACTCATGTGAAAGGGCCCTGTGCCCAGGCAAAATCTTATGCTATCTTGTTTAAGAACTATGATTTTCAAAACTTGTTCATAATCTTTAATTGAGCTTTCCCCCAGGTCAGCATGAAGCAAGTATATGGAAGCTTGGTTGCTGTTATGTTTTTAACCAGTGAATCTAGGGATGTAGCTCAGTAGTAAAGAATATGCTTTGCATGCAGAGGGTCATAGGTTCAATCCCTGGTACGGTTGGGAGAAACTCCTCCCTGAAACTACAAAAGCTGCTGCCACTCAGTGTAGACAGTATTGAGGAAGATGGACCAATAGTCTCACTTCGTAAAAGGCCACCTCCTATGAACCTATGCAGAATATAAGCTGCCTCCCATCAGACTTGTGTAAAAATGACAGCTAAGGATATAAAGTATGTACAGTGGTGCCTCGCAAGACGAAATTAATTCGTTCCGCAAGTTTTTTCTTCTTGCGAGTTTTTCGTCTTGCGATGCACGGTTTCCCATAGGAATGCATTGAAAATCAATTAATGCGTTCCTAGGAAGCCGACTTCAGACCAGGTCCGGGGACAGTCTGTCCCCCGACCTCTTCTGAAGGCTGGGGGGACAAGGGCTTTTCTTCCCACCCACCCCAGCATTTTAAAACCCCGGGACAGCGGAGGGCTTCTCCGCTGTCCGGGCGATCTTAAAATGCTGGCGGGCGGCATTTTAAAATTGCCCCGGGACAGCGGAGGACTTCTCCGCTGTCCGGGGCAATTTAAAGCCCCTGGGAAGGCAGGCAGGGGGACAAAGACTTTGCCCCCGCCAGCCTTCAGAAGAGGTCCTGGACCTCTTCTGAAGGTTGGCGGGGCGAAGTCTTTGTCCCCCCACCTGCCTTCAAAAGCTGTCCAGCCAAGGCTCGCGGACCTCTCCGCAAGCAGCGGCAGCACTGCCGCTGCTTGCGGAGAGTTGCCGGCATGCCGAAGCCTGCGCGCGCTGAGATCAGCGCGCCCAGGCTTCGCGGACCTCTCCGCGAGCAGCGGCAGCGCTGCCGCTGCTTGCGGAGAGTTGCCGGCATGCCGAAGCCTGCGCGCGCTGAGATCAGCGCGCCCAGGCTCGCGGACCTCTCCGCGAGCAGCGGCAGCGCTGCCGCTGCTTGCGGAGAGTTGCCGGCATGCCGAAGCCTGCGCGCGCTGAGATCAGCGCGCCCAGGCTTCGCGGACCTCTCCTGCCTTCAAAAGCCGTCCGGGATGGCGGGACGCGGTTCCCTGCTGTCCCGGACTGCGTTTAAAATGGTGGCGGTGGGGAGCAAAGCCTTTCGGCCCCGCCAGCCTTCCTGGACCTCTTCTGAAGGCCGGAGGGGAAGGCTTGCTCCCACCGCTAGCATTTAAAGAGGTCCCGGAGATTTCCCTATGGGCTTTCGTCTTGCGAAGCAAGCCCATAGGAAATTCGTTCTGCGACGCCTCGCAAAACGGAAAACCCTTTCGTCTAGCGGGTTTTTCCGTCTTGCGAGGCGTTCGTCTTGCGGGGCACCACTGTATGCTATACAGTCAAACCTTGGGTCCCGAACACCGAAAACCGGAAAGTAAATCCTCAGTTTTTGAACATTTTTCGGAAGCCAAATGTCCAGCGTGGCGTCCACTGAGTGCAGGAAGCTCCTGCAACCATTCGGAAGCCGCCCCTTAGTTGTCGAACATTTCGGAAGCCGAACGGGCTTCCGGAACAGATTACGTTCAGCAACCAAGGTTTGACTGTATAACTATATAAACTATGTATGCTTTTGTTTTACTTCAAATCCATGCTTCTTAAACTTCTTAAAATGCAAGAGAGTATATGAGAAAAATGTTACTTAAACAGTAGTATGCAAAATGTGAACTTTTAATGCTAACTTGCTTTTACAGAAGTACTCATTTGTACCCACTGAAACAAGACTTGCTTATTTTAAAATATGCTAAAACCGGTAAATGATTGAAATGATTTCCCCCCTCTTTAAGATCATATTTCAGATGATTGAAATGTCTTCAACGAGGACTGGCGTCTTTAATATGTTGTTGACTTACTGCTGTCAGTCTTGGCTATTTCCTACGTCTGATGACCCGAATGCTGTTGAAAAGGCTTTTTCAAATGCTAGCAATTACAGTGAACTTGTAGTAGAGGCCTGTTTATTTGGAACTGTTTTCAGGCGTGATCAAAGGTAAAACAAAAGCAATGTTACTTTTGTGTTGCACTTGGGAAATGTATTGCTGATTTATGTAATAATTTCCAGAGTTGGTTTTTGTTGTAGCAAAAATAACAAAGGGTTGTATCCAATGGTGTCTATACAGAAGGGGAGCAAAGTTTCACTTGAGCAATGGAGCTTCCCTTTCCTCTTCTACTACCTCCAGCTCTCTACATAACCCCAATACAGGCATACCTTGGTTTTCGAACAGCCTAGTTCTTGAACATTTTGGCACCCGAAGAATTGAAACCTGGAAGTGATTGTTCCGGTTTTCGAACATTCTTTTGGAAGCCGAACATCTGATGGGGCTTCCACAGCTTCCGATTGGCTGCAGGAGCTTCCTGCAGCCAATCAGAAGCCGCGCTTTGGTTTTTGAACATGTTGGAAGTCAAACGGACTTCCGGAACGGATTCCATTCAACTTCTAAGGTACGACTGTATTGGCTTGAGGGTCTAGGGATCCTCCTCAGGAGATCTTGAGCCTGGAGGGAGAAGAGGAAGAGGATATCCTGTTGTGCAAGCAGGACTTCAAAGCGTCTTATAAAGTCATCTTAAAGATCAGTACATTTATTATGTATTATTTTGCATGGATCTGTACCACAAGACTCTCTGTTGTCCTTATGGATTTATCTATTTTTTCATTATTTTATTAAATGCAAAATGAAGCATAAACAAAATCCCCACAGGAAACAGGTTAGAAATATTGAAACAGAGACAAGATGGAGGTCAGAGATATGTACAATACATACCAGACTTTTCATATAATAGAAATTAGAACAAGTCTATAAAAATAGAAACATAATTAACATGGAGATTCCTTAATTTCTCAGGGTAGAGAACTGCATTTACATCAACCTTAGTTTCTGAATCTTCACAAATTTCCTGCTTTATTGTATCATCTATTTAAAGGCTGGGGGTGAAGGAGATTGGTATGATTATTATGTTTATGTTAATAATGTAGAACAAATAAATTTCTCCCTTTTATGTGGATTTATGATGGCAGGGAACCTTAAACTATAATAAGTAAATATTGAAAAATATATATATTTTTTTCTTCTCCTTTTAAATACATCAAGACTCGTTCAGGAAGTATGTGCTTTTATAGAAAATCTTGGAGATGAATGTGCAGCAAATGTTGTTACAGAAAGGTCGGTATTTCGTCACCTGGTTTTATAATAGTTATAATTCACTGTATCTGTACCATTCATAACATTCATCTCCCCACTTCTGTTTCTTCTGAATCATTGTTTCCTGAATTGTGCTTCAGAAAAAATTATCTAAACAGCAGGGTGCTAGGAAGTCATCATGAAAAAGAAAATAACAAGGAAACTGTGCTCTTACAAACACTATAGCCAGGATCCAGAGAACTACACAACTAGTTTTGTTCATCCAAAGGGATTCTGGGCTTGTGTGTTTTGAACAGCAGTCTTCCATGCTTTTGAAACTGAGCAGAGTTTCAGAAGTTGTTTGCCATTTGAAGATGGGGAGTGAAAACCCTCCTAGGCATGCCAAAAGCCTTTTGGACATGTGTAAAATAGCTCTTTAGATTTTGTTTCCATGATTTGATCAGACAGAAACAGCATGTTGAGCTAGGTAAATTCTTAATCTTGCTATAAGAGTCACATTTGGCTCCCCCAGCCTCAGATTCCTCATTCCTGATTGATGGCATAAATCATGCTGGATAGCTTCAACAAGATTAATTCCACAGTTTCAGACTTGATCCTGGTAGGGCATCTGCCTGTAAAAATGCAAGTGTTTGATTTATCCTAGCAGCCCAGCCAAATTAGAAGGGGGTGGGGGTGTCAATTATTGTGGCTCCTTTAAGTATATGTTTGCACCACTGAAATATAAAGCTGAAATGGGGAGTGACTTATGCAAAAAAGGGAGCACACGGTCAGAGGATTAAAAAAGTAATATATTGTATTACAGTACGAACAGGGATGACCATTATGTGAGAGTTTGTGCCATCAAATTTCTGTGCTTGCTGGATGAGACAAATACATTGCACAAGAAGTTTATAGAAGACTTTGTGATGAAACTACTTGACAGGGTAGGTATCTGTTTATGGTGCTTTGTGCATATGTCTTGGCTTTGACAATTGGACTGCTCTGGTTGCTGGGGACATAGCAGCCCCCCTACCCTCACAGAGGTTATTTCCATACTGTTATTATTTTGTGGCAATTGTGCCCTTCATTTCTTTGCTTGCTTTGCTGTCATTGTAGCTTGTAATAAAGATAAGATGGAAAATAATGGTTGGAAAATGTGAAAACCTGGGGTGTGTGAGTGAAGCAGCTTATCCAAAAGTTGCTGCTTATATGACACCTATTAATCATGGGGCAAGATATACAGCAGCATTGTGTTAGCTACGTCAGATATTTGTGTTAGCTGCTTTAGAATATGTAAGGTTGCTCCTGAAGAAGGAACCAGTTCCAAAACTAGATTGAGCTACACTAGACTTTAATAGTTGTTGCTTTTGAGAACCAAAACTCCTCTTTGCATTCTGTGTATACTGTAGATATCTACAGTGTTCAAATCCAGGATGTATTTCTGCAGCTAGAGTACTGTCATCTTTATGAGAGTTGTGTACAGGGTCTTCCTTACTTGCGAATCGCTGCATTCAGTGATCTTTCATCCAGCTTGGAGGTGCTAGGAAGAAGTATCCTGCATCTGCTGCCCTTTTGACCTAGACTCTCCCTTGTGATTAACCTTTTCAACCAGAACTGAAAGAAACTAAAGTACCAAAGCATTCAGCTTGAGCAAATTTATATTCTCTGCAGGGTGAACTCATGTCCAAATCAAAAAACCGCTATTATGTGAACTCCTTACAACACAGAATTAAAAATCGACTGTGGCAGACATTGCTAGTTCTGTTTCCAAAACTTCATGAGGTACTGTTTTTCATAGCATTTGTTTTTATTACTTATGAAGGGAAAGTTAATTAATAAAACAGCTTTTCTATTTATAAAATGGGGTGCATAGTACCACAAGTATGTAAGACTTCCTTCCAGCATATAATTTCCCTAAGAAGAATTGCTTAGAATTAAGAAGGTAGGCTGCTTTTGTGGCTGTACTATTAGTTTTTTAATTGACTGGCTAAATTGAAATGATTCATTTGCTCTTTTACTGCTTTTTATTTTTATTAGTTTGTTGTCTGTTTTGAAAGAAAACCCTTTTAAAACCCTAGGAAGGAAAGAGTAGTGTGTTTGTGTGTGATTGATGTAGGTTTACAAAGTATAATTGATTTCATACCTGTTATTTTATCTAGGATATTTTAACAAGAACTATTGACAGGATTCTACAAGCTGGACATAGTAATAATCAAGCATCAGTAAAGTACTTAATAGAATGGAATATCATATTGATTCTACATAAGTTTCCTCATTTTCTTCAAAAGTTCTGGGATTGTTTTAACTATGTGAGTAGTAAGGTATTTGGTTGTTCAATTGTGAATAAATCATATATGTTTTTATTGAGTCCTTAAGTACTTTTCAAGTATTAATTTTGTTTTTCTTAAATGGATTCCAGGGACAGGGGTAGCATTTACCATTGAATATATTGACGTTGATAATATATGTAATAATTGTGTTAAAGCAGTTAAGCCCCTGTATTTTGGAGGCATGAATGACTGTTTCTGGGTTCAAAATTGGTTGATAAGATGTCATTAAACTATAAGGAACTACATGCATTGGGAAACCTTGATACTAACACATGGCTTATTTTTCAGGGTGAAGACCAGCTTAAAACTAGCATTTGCACATTTTTAGCAGTGATGTCACATTTTGACGTAATTCTCCAAAATATATCTGAGAAGGTACATTTTTTTGGTTGAAACTAAGAAATGGGGTGTAGGGAACAAGTAATAATAATCCGCTAACTATATCTTGTTGAGGTTACTGCAATGTGTTTTACGGGACTGCCTTTCAAGACCACTCAGAAACTTTAAAGACCAAGGCCTATCTACTCCAAACCAGTGGCAAACCACTGTATAGCAATTACAAGCCAACTAGCAGGGTATGAGTGCAGTAGCTGTCTCTCCTGCTGTTAATCCCTTAGCACAGGCATAGGCAAACTCAGCCCTCCAGATGTTTTGGGACTACAACTCCCATCATCCCCAGCTAATAGGACCAGTGGTCAGGGATAATGGGAATTGTAGTTTCAAAACATCTGGAGGGCCGAGTTTGCCTATGCCTGCCCTAGCAGCTGGTATTCAGAGATATGCTGCCCGTGATTCTGGAGGTAGAATATGGCTATCATGACTAGTAGCTGCTGATAGCTCTGTCCTCCATGAATTTGTCTAATCCCCTTTTAAAGCCATCTATATTGGTGACCATCACATCTTGTGGTAGCAAATCCCATAGTTCAGCTATATGCTGTGAAGTAGTACTTCATTTTGTCCATTCAACTTAATTAGATGACCTGGGTTCAGGTGCTTTGAGAAAGGGAGAAAAACCTTTCTGTATCCATTTCCCCCACACCCTACTCATCTTACCCCTCCTGGCAGAATTCCCCCCCCCCCCATGCCTTCACTTGGCTAGATTGCTGACTATTACAGGTCATTTGGACCATATTTTGGATGTTTAAAAGTTTCACTGGTTCCCCATGCATTTCTAGGTTTAAGTATTTTGAGGACCACTTGCTCCCATTCAAGCCTGCATATTCATTAAGGTCACCTGGAGAGGCCCTTTTTTAGATACCTCCAGCTACAGAAGTTAGTGAATGGTGATTGAGAATCGGGTCTTCTCAGCAGAGATGCACTGGCTCTAGAATGTCCTCCCCAGGTCTGTGCACATAGCATCGGTACTTAGGACTTTTAGGCTGCACGTGAAAACAGCTCCCCCCCCCCCAGCCTCTTTAATAACTACGTTGTAACACCACAACACTAATGTTCACTTTAGAGCATCCCCAAACTCGGCCCTCCAGATGTTTTGGGACTACAACTCCCATCATCCCTAGCTAACAGGACCAGTGGTCAGGGATGGTGGGAATTGTAGTCCCAAAACATCTGGAGGGACGAGTTTGTGGGTGCCTGCTTTATAATGTATTGGTCTGTTAACTGAGGTCCAGCTCTGAGGGCCTTCTGGTGGTTCCCTCATTGTGAGAAGTGAAGTTACAGGGAACCAGGCACAGGGCCTTCTCGGTAGTGGGGCCCGCCCTGTGGAACGCCCTCCCATCAAATGTCAAGGAAATAAACAACTATCTGACTTTTAGAAGACATCTGAAGGCAGCCCTGTTTAGGGAAGTTTTTAATGTCTGATGTTCTATTATATTTTTAATATTTTGTTGGAAGCCACCCAGAGTGGCTGGGGAAACCCAGCCAGATGGGTGGGGTATAAATAAAATATTATTGTTGTTGTTGTTGGGTGGGGTATAAATAAAATGTTGTTGTTGTTGTTTAGCAATATTAAGAAATGTTAATAGTTTTTACTTTGCAATGTTTTGGCGTTTGTTTTGTTCTGTTTTTAATTTGTAGGCCACTTTGAAAATATGTTATTGAATGATGGAAGACAATTTATTATTAATTATTAAAATTAATATACATTTGCAGATATATGTTGGTTTATAATGCTGCAAGTTAGCTAAGAGTTGAAGGCTATGCATAGAAGTATAATTCTATATGGACTAAAAGCTGGAGTAAATCTTATGTTTGGATGTAGGATTTCTTGATAAAACTTCAGTTGAACTTCCAGCTCATTGCCATGTCAATTTAAAAATGTTTCTCATTAGGAATTAGATGAGTTATAGTTATACGACTTCTTACATATAGTTGTATTGCTTCTTACAAGAAATGTATGAACTACTAAAGGAATGCCTTTCTCCCTCTAGACACCAGCCTTAAAGAAAGCCCTCATCGTTGTTCTACAGTGGTGTTTCCATCACAATTTCAGTGTTCGACTTTATGCTTTAATTGCCCTTAAGAAAATTTGGGGAATGTGCAAAGCATTGTGTGTGGAAGATTTTGAAGCTTTAGCTCCAGTTATTGAATGTAGTCTCAATCAAGCAGAAAGCATGCATGGAACAGGGTTAGTAGCTCATAATTATTTTAAAATACTGCTTTGAAACTAGTGATGCTCCAAAATGAAAACACTTTCTAGACCACTTACGGATGAATGTAATTTTCTCAAGGAGCACTTTGTTATACCCATAGTTGTGTTGTCTCATCTGAACAAGGTAGAACATTTTAAAATAAACCAAATTCAGCAGTAACAGATAAAGTGAAATTATGATAAATGTCTGGGGATTTCTTTTTCATCAGAAGCATACCTGGCCTGTGAAACAGAAAACTAGACTGCTTGTCTCTTGAATTTTAATAAACTGACTTACTCCACTTATTTGAATATAGGTCAATCACTTCCATATTATTATTGATGGATTAGATAGAAGATACTGGTGGTTTGTGGAGTAAAAGGGAGAGACCAATAGTGTGGCAATTTGTTTATTCTTTGGGAGACTGTGAGGTTAAATTGATCTGAAAGTGCTGCATTAATATATGACTTAATGTCTGGAAGAATGTTGAGTGGTGAACCAAATAAGGCAGGTAATAACAGTGTAGGTGTATAAAGTAGGATTGCTCTTGTATAGTTCATTGTATATAAACACAAATCATAATGAAATCCTAAGCATTTTTACTTAGAAGAAAGTCCCATAGAGTTCAGTGGATCTTACTCTTGAGGTGATTATGCTTAGAATTGCAACTTTGAACTATGCCCGGTCTGGGGAAGAAGGTTTAATCCTTTGAATATAGTTCATTATTATTATGTTATGTTATGTTATGTTATGTTATATTATATTAACCTGGCCAGAGCCTCTGAAATGGGACAAGTTAAAGATCTAAATTTGATAACTAATATATATATATATATATATATATATATATATATATATATATATATATATATATGTTGTGATTCACAGACCCACAAATGAGTTTTCCCAGCTGTTTGTTCTGTAGCTGCTTCCACTGCCAAATCGTGGAACTACTGTTTAAATTCCATAAAAAGCAGCTGCAATATGTAATTTGCCCCAAGTGTTCAGCACAGAAAAGGGCTGGAAGAATTGTGATGCGCAATGCTTAAAACAATGAGTTTTAACAATGAATCAGTGAATCAATGAGTCGCAGCCATAGAATCTAACTCACAGATATGTGTATGCTCAAATGTGATTTATTCAGCGGAGAGACCTCAGCTTAGTGTGAAAGGAAACCATGTGGAGCTCTTTTAGTGCTTCTGCACCACAAAGAAATTCCCTTGATCGAGGCGATGTTGTGTAATACCTCATAATTACCCTTGTGTGCTTACTAGTTGGAAAGTGACCAAATCGTAATATAAAAAAAGAAGAATTATGCTGCAGTCCTTACCCAACTTATCTGGGAGTAAGCCCCATTGAATTAAATAGGACTTACTTCTGAATATACATGGTTAGGATTGCCTTTTGGTAATCTTCTAAAAAGAGGCTTATTGAGACATTTTCTTGTCGTACATCATAATATTATCCTTACAATGCAGGAATGCTAAAAAGAATTGGCAGCGCATCCAAAAACACTTTTTCTTTGAAAACTTTCATCCACTTAAGGATTACTGTGTTGAGGTAAGTACATAAATATTCAGTGGTTTGTTTATTTGTTTTTTAAAAAAACAACCTTAGATCTGTCTAATTGATGACACTGCTAGTGTGATCAAGGAGATATGGCTTCAAATTTCCACTCATTCAAGAAACTAACTGGATGACCTTGGGTCATTAAGCAAAGGCATTTTTGTGTGTGTGTTGAAAACATCAAACTCACTGCCAGAGTTAACCTAATTCTGCACCATTTTGTTTTTATATGTGTGCTTACTTTGCCTAATGTACAGTTCAGTCCTGTGCATGTCTTCACAGGCATAAGCCCCATTGTTCTCAACAGGACTTACTTCCAGATAATACATGATTGCTTCCTTATTCAGCTTTTGCTACAGGACCCTTAAATCACGCACCCCAGATATTTGGAAATTCACTAAACCCCTTCTGTTTCTTGAAATTTTATCAAATATTATACACATTCATAAAAGCTAGAAACAGACATTAAATAAGAAAATGAAAGTCCAGGGTCTGAATTTCACGTTTCTTTGCAACCACAGGATGTACACAACCCTGAACCTCGTATAGAAGTGTGTGCTTTGAGAAATGACTACTTACTTGGAACATGTCTTATTTTATGGATTGCCATTATGCAGTTAGAGAAGGTGGGCAGAGCAGTTCAATTAGGGTGGAGAATTTATGGTGGAAGAACCACCAAATCCAGAGTCGTCCTGACCAGGGTGGAAAGGCACGAAGTACACCAACTCCTGGTATTTTCCCTCCAATGTCAGGGGAGTGGGAAGGTTTTGGATACGGCAGATCTTCTTAATATACCCATATGATGTCCATTTTATCTCCCAACTGTCATTGCAGGTGGGGTTGTACTCTAAATATGCTTGCCTTCCATTAAAGTCAATGAGATTTAAGCCCAGTCATACCTTGGAAGTTGAACGGAATCCATTCCGGAAGTCTGTTCAACTTCCCAAACGTTGGAAAACCAAAGCGCTGCTTCTGATTGGCTGCAGGAAGCTCCTGCAGCCAATCAGAAGCCGCGGAAGCCCTGTTGGACGTTCGACTTCCGAAAGAACATTCACAAACCGGAACACTCACTTCCGGGTTTTGATCGTTCGGAAGCTGATTTGTTCGGGAGCCAAGGCATTCAAGATCCAAGGTACGACTGTACACTGAAATATCAGTAGGACAGACCGAACCATCATTTTGTTTCTCTTATTATAATGGGGCACTAATGCTTCACTTCGACTGGTTCATGGCTAATATATTTCGGCATTTTTAGTGCTAGTTCAATTTTCCAAATATTATTTTTCAGACAATATTTTACACCTTGCCGCATCTTTCAGAAATTGCAGAAGAGGAATTGATTTCTCTATCTAAATTTAAAGCATTCACAGACATCCCACTGAGCTCAACATTTCCATTCTCTCATTCTCGAACTTCACTTCTTGATCTGAAGCAGTGTGACTGGTCTCAGCAAGATTTGGGTAAATAACTAGCGCTGGCTTAAATAGTCACGTATATTTTATATACTTCTTTTAAAATTAATTGTGCAATATTTTAACAACACAAAATGTTAAATGGTTATGAAGAATATTGTCTGCCCTCAGTATTTAATTTCTAATATGCTAGGATTCTCAGCAGAGTTTGTTGCATTCAGGTAACTAAATATTCAATCTTAGGTTTGAGTTCAGCTGAATCAAGCAGCCAAAGACAATGGACAGATGTTCAAAAAAAGATAATTCCTTGGAAGGACAGTACTCCTGATCTGGAGCTTGTATTTCAAGATCGGGCTACTAAACTTGGAAAAGCAAACAATAAACTGATTGTAGTGGCTTCACTCATTGATAAACCTACCAATTTAGGAGGTAAGATCTTACCCACTTGAAACTACTAGTACTTGAAAGTATGTTATGTGACTTACATTTTTTTTAAAGCAAACTTTATATATTCAACCTCTCTATATAAAGGATTTCCAATGGAAATTGCATTTAATCATTCAAACTACAGCACAAAAGAGAAGTGCCTTTCACTTTCCCCCCTGACATTATCATAAATTGGTGTACTTTAGCCACTTGTAGTAATTAGTTTTTTCAGGGCCATGTTATAGGCTGATGAGGATGCTTAGTTTAAGATCTTTAAGGGAAGAGTGAGTCATGCTATTGTATTTTTGTATAGCCTGATAGACCCACCATGAATGCCCTTCTTCAGCATCTAAGTGCGCCATTCAATTAATGAAATATGACTCATACTAAATGAAAGTGTTCTGCTTCTTTGTAGGCTTGTGTCGTACATGTGAAATATTTGGGGTGTCAGCTCTCATTGTTGGCAGCCTTCATTATATAAATGACAAGCAATTTCAGTACCTCAGTGTTTCTGCTGAACAATGGCTTTCCCTTATTGAGGTGAGCAAAGAGTATATTACTTGTAGACTACTTAAATGTAACTTAACTTGCCTCAGTTTTTCATGAATGGGCTTGCCTAACATTGTATGGGATTAAAATTCTTTATGCTAGTGTTGAAGTGTTATGTATTAGTCTGCTACCTTTACAACTCTTTCCTGTGATTGACTGGGCTGAGCCTCTGGCTGTTTTACTACGGTTAAGCACTTTGACATTTCTTTGATTTCAATGGGAACGTTAAGCATGTGTGTTCCTGAATATATCTCTGACTAGCATTGCTGGAGTGTCTTCATAGCTTGTTTGTGGCATTTATGGAGGCATCTGGCTGTCAGTTGGAAACGAGTTGCTGCACTAGATGGATTCCCAACCTGATCCCTGCTTTTTTTGTTTTGATTGATTGAACCTAGCAGTGTGGCTTTATGAATCTTATAAGGATACTGTATTGGTCCACATGATGTTAGCCTTTCAGCTGATCAAAATCTGACATATTTTGACTGATACAGCTATTTGTACTGTATATTAATAGAGGTTTGCATTTAAACATTTCTATACTAATCTCACTTTTCTAAAAATAAATAAATGTGCAGGTAAAGCCATTCCAGCTTGCTGATTATTTGGAGCAGAAGAAAATGGAAGGCTACACTATAATAGGTGTAGAGCAAACGGCTAAAAGTTGTGATCTGACAGAATATTGTTTTCCAGAGAAATCCCTCTTGCTGCTGGGGTAAATAAAAAAACAAAACTTTTTAAATATAAAATGATTCTAAATAATTTTTTGGTAGTGAAAGCTGAGAATTGTAGAGTTTGAGGAAATATGAAAAGATCAGCTATAATTGTTGCTCCCATTTACTGTAGTGGCTGAATAGGACTAGAATAGAAACATAGGAAGGCCTCAACCACCCAGCTGTCCGTCATTGTAGTTTTATTTCTGATGGTCCCCTGGTGTAGAACTCACTCATTCCAGATATTTTTGTCCTCCCCATTCAACAGGGCTGCAGGCTTATTTTTCATGTAACTGAAATGGATGTAAAACAGTAACACATCAGTTAATTACACCATATAATAGCACTGAGCAATATTTTTAGGGAGTGAGGCAAGAGTCATATTAACTGCAATTGATCTGTCTTAAAAGCAATATTAGTTATGAAAGGGGACTGAGGAAATGTTATCACTGTATCACAGTGCTGTCTTCTCTGCTAAATATATGATTAACATTATCTGGCCCAGTAGCAGCAGTGGCTCCTCAGACAGGGTCTTGTTACCCAATATCATTTTATTTGGATATTCCTTTGATTAAACCTGGGTCTTTTTGCATGCTGAGTAGATGCTCTCGGACTGAACTGCACCCCCTCTGCTAACTGTGTTATATGTTTGTGTGCTTTTCTTGTCAGAAATGAGCATGAGGGAATCCCTGCAAATCTAATTCAGCAGCTGGACACCTGTGTAGAAATTCCTCAGCAAGGAGTTATCCGGTCACTTAATGTCCATGTAAGTGGAGCTCTGCTCATTTGGGAATATATCAGGCAACAGATCGTCAAGGAAAAAGAATGAAGATAAATACATGAATCTTGTCAAAGCTGTTGCTCTGATGGTGCTAAGAAATTCATGGAGTAGAGATACTGCACAAAAGAATAAGTTTTGTATTTTGCATGCCTTCATTTTTTAAAAGAACTCAAATGCCTTAAACCATGACTGTATTGAAATATTCATTGATGATAAATATTCTTTCAGTATACAAGTTTCTTGGTGTAGATTATGTTGCTGAAAAAATCTCTTTATATTCTTCTTAGGTGGGTTCCAAATAACCATTTTGTAGCAGGGTGGCAACTCAAGTTTGTGGGTTCCCTTCAACCATACACAGAGCTGCTGGGGCAATGCTCCTATTTTATCAAATTAATATGCAAACAGACTCAATGTGTACACTGGCATGACTGCACAATAACTAGCATTTGGCTAATTTTATTTATTCACTTGTGAAGATCGACTATCAAAATGGATGTAAGCGTTCTATTAATACAAAGGAAACTACTTGAAAGAAGAAACTGGTAATGAACTCACAGTGTAACATTTGAGTAGATACAGTGCACCAATTTGCCCTTTATTGGTAGTAGCAACTTCAATGAGGTGTGGTTGGGAGCCCCTTCTCTTCACCGTGCACTTCAAAGTACATACAGGCTAGGAGCCTTCACGCCGATGCCAGATAAACAAGTATAGCTTTTGAAATTATAGGCCATCACTGTCCTTTACTGATACTGACACTTTTAAGTATCACTCAAGTGCTCTTCTTCTGCAAGCTCCTTTGTCGTGGCTGTATTTATAAAAGCTGATGAGTAGCTATGACTTCTCAGTTGTCTCTGAAGGCTGAAATTCTCCTGCTTCCAACTTTGCTTTATATTTTAGATAATCTCTTCTTCTATCAAAATATTTAACCTGTTTTGAACAAGATCGCTGTTAGGAAATGAGATTGACACAGTAAAATTCTAGTGTAATGAAAACAGGAAGGACCTCTTTTGATTATCATTGCAGCATTTCAGATCTGGGTATGTAACCATGTTGATGTACTCTGAGCATTTCAGGGTCCTCAACTCCCTTAAGGGAGAATTCTCCCCTAGTTCTATTACCAAACAGTTCTAATGTCTTCTTACAGTGAAATGTGGGGTGCCACAATCAACCCTACCTAATTGGTCAGGCAAATATCTCTGAGATGCTCACACAACCCTTGAGGTATTTGATACAGAACACTACACTTTACACCCCTATCAGTGCTATGCCAGTTTATAGGGTTTATCTCATTGCTGGTAAAGACAAGTACATACTGGAAACCTAGGAAGCCACCTTACAAGAGTCAGACATAGCCTAATGTCTCCAGTGACTCTTCAGGGTTTCAGACAGGAAGTCTTTCTCAGTCCTATCAGGAGATGCTGGAATATTTTTTTTGGGGGGGGGGGGATTTGTGCTGCTTACCCACTGTTGTGGACACACATTTTCAAAAGAGCACCTAAGTTTCTCACACTTCGATGCCTCTTCCATATTATCATCTAAGCACTTCCAATACTCATCCCGAGCTCCCCAGCAAGCCTTCCTTTCCTTCATTGATGGAGCTGTCATTTCTGTCACAAGAAACAAAAGATCGCTGTTATTCTTGAACTACTTAACATAACTTACAACATAACAAGTCACCATCCAATCCTACACTTTATTGAACCTAAACTGTTTTTACTTGAGTCTAACGTTGAATGTAAAATGTTTTTAAGTGTGTTTTTTAAAAAAAAGTATTTTGAAAGGCACTGTATTTATAAGGGGGCAATACTGAATTGAAAAGATAATCAGGCTGTGAAGCCTGATACTTTATATGTAGCCTGTCAACATTGTTACAGTTACAAGAAAGCAGTTAAAGGCCTATGTCAGCTATCTGAATTATAACTGTGAACAGCTAAAATAGGGATGGTTAACCAGCAGCCCCCCAGGGGTTGTTGGACTACCAACTCCCATCATCCTTGACCATGGTGGGGGCTGATAGGAGCAGTAATCCAACAATATCAAAAGGGTCATAAATTAGCTGCCCCGCCCCATAGCATATAGCAGATGATCCTGACAGTAATTGCCCGAAAGGACTGTCACAGCCTTGTCCAGTCAATGTGGTCTGGTGGTCAGTGGAGACAGAAGAACCTAGAAAGAGTGTGAAGAGCTGAAATCTCTTAAAAATTGAATTCGTGAAAGCAATAACAGTATTCACATTTTAAGAGAGTATTCTTGACCAAGATTCAGGTGATTTAAATTCAGGCACAGCTTGCTTTATTGAGCTTTGCTTTACCATACTTTGCATATATTGCCCCTTATATAAGGACATTGGCACAACTGCTGGCAGCCCTTACCTTCCACCACCTCTTCTGGTTACAGGAGCTCACTAGGGTTAGAGCTGGCTTTTTTCTAGCATGTAAAGCACTGTTCGACTCATGTCCTGCTTTTGGGCTTCCAATGGGCATCTGGTTGGCCAATGTAAGATCAAGACACTGGACTAGATGGGCCATCTATCTGATCCAGCAGGTGCTGCTTATGTTTTGGGAGCCTTTGGAGGGGGTGCAATTGTGTGGGCCACAATCTGCCTTACTATTACATAAATATACTGAGATTCCAAGGTTGGCATTGTTTGGTTCACAGCAGAGTCTAAAGCCCAGAGATTTTAACTGTAGTAAAAAAACCTGCCACACCTTATGTTTAAGCAGGCACCATTTCATAAGCTCTCTGAAACGCGATCTTCTTAAAAGCAGACAACAATGTCTACAGTGCACTGTTACTTAGTATTTCAAGAACACTAACACCATGTAAGGCTGGTTCGTCGTACAAACAGCGTACAAAACTACTGAACACTAGAAACCCTACAGTTTGCCACCTGCATTGGGCACATAAAACAATCCCAGGTTGTCAGGTGAAGAGTTTTAAGAAAAACATTGTATTGCTGGGCATTTGCCACATTGCACGCGACCAACCTGAGCTGCTGAACTCGGGGCTAAAGAACGGGGCTCCCCAGGGCACCTATCCCCAAAGTCCAGTTTCTGCAGTGAATCGCCGAAAGGAGCGCGCGCGGTCTCTCCCGCCGTTTCCCTCCAGGGGCCCCGCGGAGCCGCCTGCACGGAAGGCGCCGCGTGACCGAGTCCCGCGCCCTCGCCGCGCCTGGAGAGCGATGCCAAGTGGGCACAAGGCAGGGGAAGCGCGCGGAGGAGGCTCTGCTTGCCCTCCACGCTCGGCTGCTGCAGTTTTGGGAGTCACCTCCTCCTCTCCGCCCGCAGAAGGGCTGAAAAGGGTCTCCCCGCCTTCTCGCGCTCTGAAGGGTCTCCCCGCCCGACAGAAGCGGCCGCTCCTCTGCGGGAAGCCAGGCTCCCGACGACCTCCAGACAAGGTGAGGATTTTACACGCGACGCCTTCACTTACCCGCCGCACTTCCGTCTGAGCTTGAAAAGCCCGGATGTGCATCCAGGCGTCGAACACACAACACACCGGAAGCGCATGCGCAGCTAACATGGAGCGCCTGAGCTTATTATGACAACGCGGAGGCGGAGAAGAGGGGATGTCTCTCTCCGCCTGCTGCGTTATAGGCTGCGCGTGCGCACTTACGCAGCTTGCTTGGCGGCTTTGTTGCTAGGCTACTGCCCGGCCCCCTTCAGTGCTGCTCTGCGGGCGGGAAAACAAATGGGCTCAGGATGAAGCCCTGGGACAGGGCAGTGACCTAATAGACATGAATTGCAGTTACATTTCGTGCGTCCCACAGGTTTGGAAGCCCTAATTTAGCCGTTAATATTCTGGTGCTTTCGAATAAATGGCAATAATATAATTCGGCAATCGAGTGAAAATCTTCAAAATTGCCACCAGGTATTTTTTAAAGTTTCAGTGTTAAAGCAGCGGCGTCTGCATTAGCAGGTGGGGCTTTTTTGAGGATGGAAGCAGACCAATTAAATTGACATTTGCAGCTGATTTTGGTAGAAAACGGACGGGACTGTCCTTACGCCACTTTGGCACCCGCCGTGCTTGCAATTGTGCTGCCCGTTAAATTCCACATTTAAAAAAAAAAATCCTTCCTGGTGTGTGTGATGAACTATGCGCGCTTTTCGAAGTCACGGCAGGCCAGAATTTGTTAAGAGACGAGGAACAGAAGCGGAGAATTCGGGAGGCTCCGAAAGCGCAGCCTTCCTTTGTCGCGCAAGGGCTGCCTGCCGCCGCCATCCGAGCAGGGATTCTGCAGGAGGTTTTTGCTTTGTAGTTGTCAGGTCACCTCTGTGAGTCGCGACAGAGACGTGGCCCCAAACGGCTACAAAACGGAACAACTTTATTAATTCCTCCTGATTTAGCAGCAGCGCTGGCGGCTTCAGTTTGGACGCAGCGCCGCCTATGGTTGATCTAGCAACATAGGAGCCCAGACTTCCCATATTCTGACAGTTTAAGGAGGGCAAAGTGTCCAGCTGGTGGCTTGAGAGTTGCATTTCATCCCTGAGGGAAGCATTCATGGACCCCAGGAACCGAGGAGTTCCGGGCTACACCATGAGGGACCAATGAAAAACAGCTACTTCCCCAAGTCTGAGTAGATTTTCTCAATTCAGTCACAGCCTATTTCTAAAGGCCGAGAGTTACAAAAATCTTCCCTTCGTGTGTGAGTGAACTCTCTCCTCCCAAGCAGCAAAATGCTGAAGCAGATGGGTCCTCAAGCCTAAAGTCTGATCTAAATGATCACAGTATGGGGTTTGGGACCGATTCTGCCCACCTCCCCAAGCCAGATTAAATATTGTAGGATGACCAATGCATCTGAACTGGATCTATCTGCTCTGCAGGTATCTTGGTGGTGAAGCTTGATTCCTGCTCTTTACTTCTAGTATTGTGAATGGGATTATGGCATTTGAGGGAGGGGGAGCTTCTGACAGGAGCCAACTCCTAGGGGCCAAAGTCCCTTCAACACCCCCAAATAAAATATTTGAGGGAGGCTGGCTCCCCCAGAGTTGATGGGTATTGCCATTCAAATAGTGAGTTTGTGTGTGTGCTGCATCATGTGATTATGTGGGCAGAGCTTATCTCCCCCCCCCCTCCAATGTTTTACCCTTGGCTGCTGGTGACCCTGTTTTGAGGCAAGTGCTGGACAGAATGGTCTTTTGGTCTAATGACTGAAACCAAAGCAACCAGTGTCTTAATAATTTATCAGTTTCCTAAACTGATTGTAAACCCCACACACCTTTACATTCTACTAGTGGAACAGTAAGAAGTGCTGGCTCGTTTCCATGGGAACCAAGGAGCTGCGCTTCTGAACTGTGTGGCTTTTTCACAGCATTGAGGTAAGGGTTGATCTTGAAAAGTATTGAATGATTATAATTCTTAAAAGCCTTCCATAAAACACTGCAGGACTATGCCACTTTTGAGCTCCCAAGACAGACACTTACAATGTTATCTTTTTAGTTGGCATATATGTACTTGCTTTGTTTAGGTTCTTCTTTTTTTTATTTTGCTGTATGATTTTCTGTAGAAAATTGGTGGCTTGTTGATAATTTGCTGTCTGTGGGGCATAAACCTAAAGCAATATTGTTGATACTTAGTGGCTGGAAAAAATGCAGAGTGGGTAACTCTATAGACAAGCTCACCTGTCTGGAAGAGGATGGCCTTCTGATCTTTTTTTCCTCATTGTCTTATAGAATGAGTTGCCCTGTCATGATTTACATGAAAATAGCATCTCTCTGTTGCAATGAGTCCTATGTATTCCCAGATAAATAACTCCTAGTGGTCAGAATAGGCCCAATTAATGTTTTACATTAAGTCCTATAGCAATGATGAAGCTACCAAATTATATACCTTTTCATTTGATGGATTGGAGACCACTGGATACCTCATGTAAGCTCCTCTGAGCTTTCTAAAGGAAGAATGAGACGTGTGCATTATTAAAAATTAGCTTCAACTTTTATATAGGTAATTAAATAAATATCCCAGGCTTATTTCATTTCATTATTTAGGGAAGTGACCATAATTCATTGGCAGAGCACATGCATTGCAAACAGAAGACCCCATCTTCAATCCCCACACCCCCAGTTTAAAGGGTTAGGTATCAGGTGAGGGAAACAATTTCTGCCCGAGACCCTGAAGAGTGGCTGCTGCTCAGAATTGATAGTATGGGTGATAATACTCTGTCAGGATGTAAGGCATCTTCCTATGAATAGTAGTTATTCTCAGAGAAACCATGTTAAATTTATACAAGGAACAAAAACCTCAGGATAGATATGCTAGAATCTGGCCAAGTTTGGTGTTCTTCCCCCATTACCTCAGTGAAGGCGGCAGATCCCTCTTCCAGTGCACAAAGTCATTGATTAAATCCTGACCGGCAAGAATATAGTGTAACCCAGGGGGTAATTTCTACCACTGAACCCTCTTTTACTGCCCCCAGGAGCTGCCTACCATATCCCCTAATTCCTGAAACTACCAGTTGTCACTAAAACCTAAACCCTTAAAAAGGGGTCTGTGGCCATTCAGCCTTTGCCCCTCTTGATTTCCCCAACCTGCAGCTCATGCCTGAAGCTGCCAGTGCCAGAGGTGACCATTGAGAGCAAGTTTGCAGTGTTAGTTTGGATTAAGTGTAGAATTAGTTAGACCAATATTCTGGTATTTTGAGCTGCACACCTGCCATTTCTCCCCCTTCTGCCTTTTTAAAAAATACATACTCCATTTGAATAAACTGGTTACCGTATTTTTTGCCCTATAGGACGCACTTTTCCCCCTCCAAAAATGAAGGGGAAATGTGTGTGCGTCCTATGGGGCGAATGCAGGCTTTCACTGAAGCCTGGAGAGCGCGAGGGGTCGGTGCGCACCGACCCCTCTCGCTCTCCAGGCTTCGCGCAGCTCTCCGCAAGCAGCGGGAGCCCGGCGCTGGGCTCCCACGGCTTGCGGAGAGTTGCCTGCATGCTGAAGCCTGCGTGCGCTGAGCTCAGCACGTCCAGGCTTCGCGGACCTCTCCGCAAGCAGCGGGAGCTGGCGCTGGGCTCCCACGGCTTGCAGAGAGCTGCCTGTTTGGGGGCTGGGGTCGGGGGAAGCTCGGGCTTTCCCCGCCCCAGCCCCGTGCCTGGGGGGGAAATAATTCTTTTCCCCTTTATTTCCCCCCCTAAAAACTAGGTGCGCCTTATGGGATGGTGCTTCCTATAGGGCGAAAAATACGGTAATTAGAGGTGAACACACTCAAGGCCTATGCTACTGATTGTTAATGTGCCTAGGAAAGTGGAGGGGAGACAGGCTGAAGTTGCCAAGCCAGGGATCTTGAGGAGACCACGGTAAGGCCTTGATGATGCATAAGCAAGCAGTGGCAGCAGAGAGAAAGGGCTAGGACAGATCCCTCAAGACTATTAGCCTACACTACAGGGTTCTCACTGGAGCAGGGACTTCCCTCTCATTACAGAATATACCTGAAATATTACACTAACTTAATGCTTCTTGTTCATGTGAATTCAAGAGAAGTTCCTTGGCAATGGTGGATGATGACATTTTTAAAGAAAGAAAGCTCCTAGTCAAACTAACTCTATACTTATATTCCCTGAGCCAAGCTATGTATCATGGGGGGCTGTCTGGCAATGAATAGTCTGACATAACAAAGCAACTTCATCTATCTAGCTCAGTACTTCTTCTTCTGGCTGGCAGCCTACCCCATAAGCAAGTCTACTGATTCATATCATACTATGCTTACTCTGAATGTGACAGCTAAGAAGGTTGCCAAGTACTGCTTTCAACAACAACAAAAGTATATTTTAATTTACATAAATTTGAATTTTGGATGCACTTTAGGGTTTTCACTTAGAGATTTTAAGCTTCTGTTAATTTTTCAATAGTTATCATGCTCTGCTCTGCTTAGCATTAAAACTTCCAAGCAGAGTGCAGCCTCATTTTTTGTGTGCCTATTGTATTGCCCTGAAAACTATTTTGGTAAGGGAGCATGCTGAGCGGCAGTCTTCATGCTGAGAATGGCTTTTAGATAATGGATGTTCCTTATATCCAAGTCATTGTATAACATTTCTCAGATAGTAATAAGAATCTGAAGACAGCTAAGTAGCTAAATAAACTAGTCATTTCAAGTGCAGGTCTGTTGTGCTTTAACAATGCAGTATCAGTATGTGAAAAGATGTGCGGGTCTTTGAATTAATGCCATTGCTTTCACTGAAAATTCCTTGTTGCCATAGGAAACTACCTATACACCACGGAGTACCACCGACTACAGTATCTTTCAGTACTACTTTAGTTGTAGTTGTGGTAGTTGTAGTGGCTCAAAGAAAGCCTTGTTTTACTGCAGTTAAGTGGCATTTTGCTATGCGTGCAGCATAACATCTAGGAGCCTCATGCCCTCAGATTTCCCTCTTCTCCCAGTAAGTACTAATTTGATGGCACAAGGTTGTGCTAGGAGCTGGACGGCTGCTCTTAGCTGAAGCTCTCACCTGTGTCTGTCTCCATCTCGATCCTCTCTGCCCTCCTTGTGTAACACAACTGCACAGTGCATAGGCTTCTCCAGGACA